TTACTACTACTCTCGTAACTGCTACTAATGATGATTGTGGTAATGATCAGAATAATGATAATAATGATAATGATGATCATGATAGTAATGATAATAATAATAACTATATTAATAATGATAATAGTAATGATAATGACAATAATGATATTCATAATAATGAGAGTAATGATTATAATGATAACGATATCAATAATTTTGATGTTCATAATGACAATAATAATAATAATGATAATAATAATAATAATAATAATAATAATAATAATAATGATACTACTATTAATAATAATAATGATAATAATAATAATAATGATAATAATAAGGATAATAATAATAATAATAATAATGATAATAATAATAATAATAATAATAATAGAAATGATAATAATAATAATAATAATAATGATAATAATAATAATAATAATAATAATAACAATAATGGTGATAATGATGATAGTAATAGGAATAATAAAAGTAATTATAATAATAATGATAATAATAATAATAATAATAATATCAATACTACTACTACTAATAATAATGATAATAATAATGATAATGATAATAGTAATAGTAATAATAATAATAATAATAATAATGATAATAATAATAATAATAATAATAATAATAATATGATGATAATGATAATAATAATAATATTGATAATAATGAAAATTACAATAATTAGGACAATGATAATGTTAATAACAATAAGTATGCTAATAATAATAATGACGACAGTACTAATTATAACAATTTCTATTATTATTATTAATATTATTAGAGTGATAATAATGATAATAACCATTAGGATGATGGTGATAATAATAATGAAATATATAATGATAAGGATAATGATGAAAATGGGAATAAGACTGCGAATAGAAATAAAAAGGAGAGATAATAATAATAGTGATAATATGGATAGTAATGAATAATGATAATGATGATGACAATAATGATGGATTAATTAACATTGTTATTATTATCATTATCATTTGCTATTACTATTATTATTATTATTACTAATATTGGCATGGTTAAAGTTGTTATTTTTATTGTTGTTATTTTCCTTATCATCATCTTTATAATCATCAATTTTTCTTATTGCTATTATTCTTATAATCATTTTTGTTGTTGCTATTATCAATGTTTCTTTTATTATTATGATTGTTATGTTCATTATTATAACTTTGATTATTATTTCTCTTATCAATGTTATTAATGTTGTTATCATTATTGTCATTATTATTATCATCATCATCATTATCATTATCATGATCAATCTCATCATTATCAATATTATTGATATCAATATCATTACTACTAATATTACTACTAATATCAATGCCATTAATGTCAATATCATTAATGTCAACATAATCATTAATCCTAACTTCAAAGATCAGTGAAAACAATTCGCAATGAGGACAAATAACATAAAAAAAAAATTCACTTCATATTAATAAAGTTTTCCTTCCTTCCCGTCCTCTCTCCTTCCTTCCCTCCCTCCCTTTCTCCTTCGTTCCCTCCCTCCCTTCCTCTCTCCTTCCTTCCCTCCCTCCCTTCCTCTCTCCTTCCTTCCCTCCCTCCCTTTCTCCTTCGTTCCCTCCCTCCCCCACTCCTTCCTTCCCTCCCTCTTTTTCTCCTTTATTCACTCCCTCTCTCCCTTTCTCCTTCCTTCCATCCCTTTCTCCTTCCTTCCTTCACTCCCTCCCTCTCTCCTTCCTTCCCTCCCTTTCTCCTTTCTTCCCTTCCTCCTCCCTCTCTGCTTCCTTCCTCCCTCCTTCTCTCCCTCCTTCCTCCCTCCCCTCTACTTTCTTCCCTCCCTCTTTCTTTCCTTCCTACCTTTCCTCACTCTCTCATTCCTTCCTTCCCTTCCTCTCTCTCTCCTTCCTTCTTTCCGTTCCTTCCTCTCCTTTCCCTTCCCTCTACGCCCACCTACATCGCGCCCACGCCTCTCCTCACGCCCACCCATACCACGCCTTCACCACGCCTTTCCTCGCGCCCACGCCCACTCCACGCCTTCCCACACCGCGCTCACCCATACCATGTCCATGCCTCTCTTCTCCCGCCTACGCACACCACGCCCTCACCCACACCACGCCTACCCACGCCTCTCCTCCCGCCCACACCCACACCCACACCACGCCCACACCCACACCGACGCCCAAACCACGCCCACAACACGCCCACCCACGCATCTCCTCCCACCACACCCACACCACGCCTACCCACACCCACGCCTACACACGCCTCTCCTCCCACGACACCCACACCCACGCCCACCCCCCCACCCATCACCCACACCCCCACCACCCCCACACACCACTCTCCCACCCACCCCCCACACACCACACACCCACTAGGTGGTGCGTCCGGACTCCTACACCGCCAGCGTCATCCGGCGATACTCCCGCACTTTCTCCCGCTCGACTCTCGACATCCCCTCGTTCGATTCCATGTCCGAGACCGGTGGATGGCCGTGGCTTCCGTCTCCTCG